TGGATTTGATACATTAAATTCAGATTAGTTTAAATATTTTGCATATTTAACCTCCTCTATGTTTCCAAAAAAATCTTCATGCAAACCCATTTTTTGGTTATGTTTTTTCTTCTATTTTCTTAAAATAGTCATTATTATCAGGAACAGGGAAACTGAGAATTGACTATGACCCCTGGAGGGTTGCGCTCTGTACCCTCTCTAGAATGTTCTTGATGCTAGTCGGTGCAGACAATTCTCACCATGTGGCTTGACTTGTTGTCTTAGCCCCTAGGTTGGACTGGGTCAGCTTGGTCTGGGTTCAAATCGGGTCATCTGGGTCTAAGGCGGTTTACAAGTTATGCTCTTAAACCCTGAAGCCCAATTCACCAAAATTTGGAATTAAAAAACAAAAATGACCTTTTGTAATTGAGACTTGAATCGATGCAACTCAACTTAGATTACCAAAAAAATATTAGATAGATATCTGATTCATTCTCCACAAACGTTCAACCCCATTCCCTCGTTAAATGTTAAGGTTTTTCTTCTAAAGAAATAATGCCATTCCCACTAATAATCAAACCGGAAAGGTGAAGAAGTCTCAAACTCTCACTTCAACCTACTCTCATCTCTGATGTTTTAAATGCTACAAAGAGGAAGAGGGAGGAAATGCCAGACAATATTAATATATTATTATAAATATAAATCCTTGGAGCGGCTCTACCTCCACAGAAGACAAGCCAAAACTATACTTTTACTCCAGCTCTTCCTTGGAAACACACTTGTAGACGAGATTTGTTGTCCAGCGACCAGGACGAGACCTTAATGAATGTGCTATTTCTCATTTGTCGCGAATTAATGAAATTCAACCAGCTAGTGTGAAGAGGCGTTACCATTCCACAAAGTTTTGAAGGTCCGACGTGTGAACAGTGGGCCTTCCAAATTCCAATAGTTCCACGCAATCTGGGGAATGCCACCACCACCAGGCATCAGCGTCCATTCCAACGATATACAAGAGATGGGTTGAGTCATATATACGCAAAAGGAATTGTAGGAACACACCCCTCTGGAATCTGGTCCCTTCGCTTAATTTTCGGCATGCATTAACGTTCTTTGAAATGCAAGCAATCAGAGCTAAACCATGAAAAGGGTTTATTCATGAGAAGAGACAAAGAGTCCACATGGACACGAGTCCATTTGAATTTGATAAAAACAAAATGCAAACCAAACGCCTTCCCTCCCTGTACTCAAGCCTCAAGCCTCACCCCCCATCAATAATTAAAACCTATATCTGATTTCTCTAATATTCCCCTATATTTTGTTTTCTAACGCCTTCGGCCTTCCCACCACACACACCTGGGCTGGGCTACAAAATCCTAATTGGGCTTTAAATTTTGAACGCGGGCCCATCTTCAACTTCAACTTTGCTCGTTTGATTGGTGAGTGGTGACCACCCGCTGAACGCTGCTGCTGCACGACCAAACAACTGAAAACTCAAAGACAGAGAAGACAGGTAGGAGGTGGAGGGCGCCGGGACCAGTAGACAGTAGTGTAAAATCCGGAGCTTCTCCTGCACTAAGCGCGCTTCCTGGCTTGACATACCACAAACATGATTGCTATAGACGTTTGAAATTCAACTGTGCTGGTGGCTTTCACATGCTACAACCTAACATATAACCATGGCAAAGGCCTCTACCACAACAAGAATATTATAAGACATGAAGCAGAATAAAGTAAAACCCAAAACAAAATTAAATGAGAATTTGCATTTCTTACATTTGCATTCTCATACATTTGTACTAATGCAAATAAAATTGCACTGCAACCAAACAGTCTTAGACCCAATTTGGAAAGAGTATATATATAAATATGTAGAGTACAAAACCTTGTATTTTGTATGTATTTGCTAGGTATGCAACTTGAACGGGCCTAGTCTGAGCCCGAACTGACCCAGCCTGGAATTTTACACGGGCTGGACTCGGGCCTAGCCCTTAGGTAGCCCAAACCTGGCCCAACTATATACATTTATACATACATATGTATATATATGTTAATGTTGCATACATATTTACATAATACATACATATATACATAAATATATGTATGTATTTGTATAAATACAATTATATATGTATAGTTTTGGAGTGGATTCGTTGACCAACCTGAGCCCAACCTGAATGCATCAAATTACAATGTGAGCTAGGCTCGGGTTGGGAAAATCCAACTTGGCCTCGGGCTCGGTCCGAGCTTAGGCCTTAAGTCCAAGTTTTAAGGTCAGGCCTGGGTTGACCATAAACTCGACCCAACCTGCCAGACTTGCACCCCTAGTATTTGCAGTACACATATTTGTATTTGTACTCTTTCCAAACTGAGCCTTATGTTTTTTTTCCTTTGGAATTTCTTCGTCAAACCTATTTGAGTCTCATAAGGGTGTTTTACTAAATGAACTTCCTCTCAGTCCAATTAATGAAAAGGGGGAAAATATTGGAATCTGAAAGTTTAGGGGTCTTTATCACAAATGAAGCTTGGGGAGGTAATTTATAATTTAATCATCTTTTTATTTTGTTTCAAGTTCGACTTTGTTATGAAAACTAAATCATGACCACCCCATACAAAAATATGGGGCCACCATTTTGACCTTTTTTGTTTGACACCTGTTATCAATATATGTAAGCATTTTTATTTTATCTTTTAATTTGTTTTATGAGATTAAATGAAGTTTTCCTTTTTTTAACAAAAACCAATTTTGTTTGAGATTCATTATGTATTTGGAATATCTAATTTGACTTTCTTATTTAAAAAATTAAAACAAGTTTTAATCAATAACTTATTTTATCTAAAAGAATGAAACTCATGGCATTGAAAATCTTTATAATGAGCCTTTTATTTTAATTAAAAAATTAATTTAAAAAGATTTATATGGATCCACATCTTTTGAAGTATATGTTTTTTTTATAGGTAATTACATGTGAAGTTAGCATAAATTTCTTAAACTACCCTTATGGTTTAGCTAATTGACTAAATATATCCTTACCGTTTGAAAATTGACTAATACTACCCTTACTGTTTTTGACAATTGACTAACCATAAGGATGGTCAATTAGTCAATTGTCAGAATCCTATTCTCATTCCTGTTGGAATGGCATTCCCCCCATTTAAGGAAATGGTCATTCCCTACCCCTCCTTTGGGAATGAAATCCCAATGCTGCTGATTCCAATTCCCATTCTCATTCCTGTTTGAACTAAAGAGACTATGGAAATAGACTATTCCGATTCCGATTCAATTTGCAACCCTAACTTCTTTTCATGGCTTCTCATACAAGGTCGACTCCTAACCAAAAGCCTTTTGACTATTGATGAAAAGAAAATGTAAAGTCAGACCATGATTACAGAATAAGCGCTCTATCCCTAAGATAAAGACGCGTAGGTATGGGGGATAGCATATCAATGCTGTCTTGCACTTATAGATGAAGATAGATCGATCAATTCTAAAATGGTGGAACCGCTTAATATGGGTCATAGAATAAGCGGCATATGGGAGAAAATTGATTTGCGGACAATATGAACAAGCAGAAATGAGTTCATATTCCGAGACAAAAGACCCTAACCCGACCATGATTACAGAAAGCTAAACAAAAATTACAGACTACATGATAGCAAATGAGTTACAGATAAAACTTGTAATAAAAAGATCAATTATATCCAATAGAAGCCACCTATATGGCGAATGATTAAAGCAAATTTTTTATGCATCGGTGGATGAAAATAGTAACACTTCATTTGGATGCATCCTTAGGAATTACCTAGGCATCATATAGGTAGCAAAGGCCAAACCATAGGTCAAGTAGGTATCAAATTATCAATGTTCTTAGGGAAGAAGGGACACCTTGGAGCATTGAATCCATTGTCAATGTCAGATCGATCATCATTCATCAATCAGGAAGATGGCCGCATCTTTAAGTTGCACATTTTTAAAGAAGAGAACCAAGCTGCAAATTGGAGTTTTAGATTCATATCGGTAAGTTAGATATGGATATGTATTGTGATATTCTTTGGATATGCATGAATACATTGAAGAAACTCTTACAAGCCTCACAAACACTCTTTGATCATATTCTAATTTACCTGAGAGGTAAAAGAACATAGGTAAATGCACTTACCTCACCTAGATAAATAACTTCCCATAAAACCATCAAGACCTTAATGTAACAAAAAACAAAGACACATGTAGAGAGGGCTGTTTGTAACCCCATTAACATCAAGTAGCCTACCCTATCAGCCACGAGCTTGGACTATATCGCCTTCTCTCGTGCAAAATAGAGGGACTGAATCTCTCAAGGAGTTTCTTGTATTTTTCTTCCAGCTAAAAAAGTGTGCAAAACAGAGAGCCACATCAACCCATAAATAAGGGCTTATTATTAACACGTAGCAAGAGCTTTGGGACTAGAATTTGTCACATGAAAGAAACATGTGCTGATCTTTTAGACTTCCAAACACTCTTTGATCATTTAAGGATCCCCACTAAACAGAGGTCCCCTGCACAAATTCACATATTTTGTCATATGAAGGATAGTGGCCAATCCAGACCGTCCATATGATAGAAGACCCAATAGATTAGATTATATTCAACCCCGTACTCCATATCTGGCAACTTGGCCATCCTCATATTGTGGCTTTTACAATTAAATAATAACCTTTCAAGTATTAATCTTTTTACACAAAACCCAACTATATAGAAGTGGATTTATTTTGCCCACATAGAAAAGTGCTTTGGACCTAGAATTGAAGGTGGAGTTGGCATATAGAACCTCAGACTTCCGGACGCAAACTACTTTGTTGTAAAATTCCTAAATTGTTTTGAGAAACTCGCTCAATGAGCCAATCAGCAAAACATCTAAAGAATTACAAAGCAACGCTGGTTCAAACCCACAGAAAAACAGGCTCTCCACATAGTGAATGCCAAGTGAGCATAGCACCCGGCCCTCATGGGGTCAAAACTGAATAAACACATACAAGAAAAAGGGTAAAAGAAAAACTCAAACTGATTTAGAAAGAGACAAAATACACAAACACAAAGAACAAGGTCACAAAAGACAGAACTTGTCCACATTCCCTGTTAATGTTAATTAACAATGTTCATCCGATCTGTGCACATGGTATTAGACATAGCTTGACATAAGTTCTTTATCAGGTCAGATATCCTGCTCCATCCACCTAAGCTAGAATCCTCAAGCCAAATCTAAGAAAATAATAAAAAACATTCAAACCCATCAGGGAATGATAAAAGATACAAAGTTTTAGCGACTAATTTAACTCTAATATCGGTACAGGGGAGGGAGAGGAGCAGCAGGATATATTGGAGGTTCCCTGTAAATCCTGTAAGGATCACGATAACTGATCTCCTCACGACGCCTCAGCTCCAAATCTAGAAGCCGTGGATCATGATGCTCAATGTGAGAATCCCTCCTGTAATATTCGGCATCCGAAGGCCTCAGCTCTGAGTCCAGAAGCCGTGGATCATGATGCTCGATGCGAACATCCCTCCTGTAATATTCAACATCTGAAGGCCTCTCATGGGCATACAATGGATGACGCTGACGCGCAGGTGGAGGCAGTGGTGGTTGTCGAATTTCTAGTGGGCGTCCCTTTCTCTCATGCATGTCAACACTGTCTGGGTAGAAGACTTCCCTATCCAAGACAGGGTGCCTCAGTCCATCATGGCCTTGCCATCTACTTCCATCCCGTTCTCTAAATGTGTGGGTTTCTATTCTGCTACTTCTGCCAGCTCGCTTCGACTTGGAGCCCTTCGTAGTAACAAGGAAAAGCTTGCATAGGTTCTTAACCTATTGACAACATATGGTCATAAAACATTCTAAGATGAAGGGAAGTAAATGCCCAAACTCTAGGTCCTCTAACAGGTCCATTTTGATGCAAGTCAAATTTTTATAATTAGAAGATTTTATTGCAGAATCATGTAGTGAATGATACCAAAAACAGACCTGCTCAGCAGTCAGTTGGCAATTGAATTTGTTCTTCCCATAGTAATTGTCTTTGATCACTGCTTTGAACTTCTCCTCTGCCAAGGGCAAGCAGTCTTCCAAGACAGTGAAACGCACCTGCCATAGACAACATTCAATAACTGTATTTTCTAGTGCCCCTGCTCTATTTCTAGGGAAATAGGATGTGCAATGTTTCTTTTGCTAAGATGGTCTTAGAAGGATGACCTTCTCACTGAAAGCAGCTTTTGCAATACATAAAAAGAATCATAAGCATTCCAAATAGATCTTTCACTACCACTGTAGAAGAACCCAAAATAATTAGGAGGTCAGAGAGATACTATAGATTTTGGGCTTAATCACATTGGTATCAGGAGAAATTATTTGTGCCATCAGGAAATTACACAGAGGTATCTCAAAACTGCGTTTGCTATTGAACTGTTTAACCAAAACTTGATCTTTAGCTTTATATACCAGCCTACTCAGGGCATCTCCAGCTATTATGAACAGGAATAACAGAAGTAAAGGCCTCCGAGTCTTTGACCTTTTAATAACTCAGACTTTGTGTGGATCATCATGGAATTGAAATTGATAGTCCATGAATCTTTGATTCCACACTTTTGCTACTTCAGGTCCAATGCCATTTTCAGCTTTCAAATTCCACATTTCTTTTATCAGTAACTGATGAAATTTATTAATAATAAAATGAAGAATAGGTACAACAGGAAATCAAAGTACACTCCTGTGATCCAAAGACATCCCTATTCCCTACACAAAATGGGCATCTAACAAGTGGAGAAAAAATGCACCCACCTATCCATATTCTCCACTGTCACCAAAAACCTCTCATTGTCAGCCCATAATTTCAGAAGTTCACAAGCACTCCTTCCCCTACACTTCTGGTTTCAGCCACACTCTCCTGATCTATGAAGATGCACATCCAAAATCTGCCAGTATTCAACAAAGACAACTCACAAATGGCAAAACAACAAGTCTAAACCATCTCTGCTCCATTTTCAGAAAGGAACTTTTAATTCAGGAACTGGCTAGATAAAATTACATTACGTGTAAAGTTACATTCCTTCTTTGCTAAGATCCCTCTATTAGAATGTTCATTGTAAGATACAAATTAACCTATCTTAACCATTTCCTAGCATTCCCCACAGAATGCCCTAGGAAAACTGTGCATTTATTGAAATTTATTTTCTCTGCAAATTCAGAAACTTATTTTTTCCAATATTTCAACCTAGCTGTCAAAAACTCAAATTTTCCTCAAGATTTTGAACCTGCCCTTCCCACCACAGTGCACATTTTCATCATAATTTAGCATATTCCTTAATGAGGATAACTCCAATATTTTTCAAACTAAAAGCAGGATACCCACTTCTAATCTTTTTTTTTGGGCGAAGCCCATAAACCATCAGTAGGGGTGGACATGAATCAAGCTTTTCACAATCTATTCAAGCTCTGCTCGTGAAAAGCTCCAATTCGACTCAGTTTAAACCGAGCATCGAGTCAAGCTCAAGCCCAATGAAGCATGGATCGTGAAGCTCACAAGTCACAAGCCTAATCAAGCTTATATTATATATAGATACTTTTACTTTTTATATGTATAAATTTTATTTTTATTTTACATGTATTTTTTTATGAAGCTTGGTTCACTATTGAGCTTGAGCTGAGCCAAGCTCGAACAAATGAGATTTTGAGTCGAGCCAAATTCGAGCTCAAGTCTCTAGATCAAATCAAGCTCGAGCCTTGTGCTTTTCTGCCACGCCAAGCTCAAATAGCCAGATATTCGATTCGGCTCAGTTCTGCTCAAATACACCCCTAGCCACCAGTACTAAAATTGATACCATCGTTCTTTTAAAAAAATAAAAAATCTTATTACAGGAGAAAATGACAGGGCAAACACTTAAATGTATTCCCACTATGGCATATGGGAAGATTTGCAAAATTTTCCACTCACTTCGTCGTAATCAAGAATCTATCAACTTATCATATAATGTAATGCTGGATTGACATGCATTTATGACCATATCCTCCAAAAGATATTTGCTCACAGCATGTCAAAAGTCATTTCTTTGTTATTCCACATTGTGTGCACACCGAATACCAAAAACTATCTTCCTTAAGAATACCTACACCCAATACCATTCTCTTGCATTTGTGTCTGACTGACAGAAAGTAAACCTATGAATAAGGCTGTAAACAGATAAAATTCAGATAGGACTGAGGTGGATTAATGTTCAACTAGATCACTAGAACCCCACATCTGAATTTGATCCAATATCAATTATCAAATCAGACCAAGGGAATGGAAGACTAAATTCAAATTAGACCATAGTGATAATATTTGAAACTGATCCAAAAACAAGTAGGGGAATATTGGTTTCAAAAGGAGACACCTGTAATCAAGCTTGAAAAAAAAAAGAAAAAACTCAAAAGCTCGCTATTTTTGTATATCTGTCTCATCCCTTCAAAGACTGGAAGATGGGATGAATGGATGAAATTGAGGGAATCAGAATGGTTAGAGAATAAAGTTCTTGAAACAGATTATATACAGAAGGTTTTAGTTCAACATCTTAGGGTTATATTTTATACAAGATAATGTGTGTTTCTTTGCAGTTTAGTTAACTGTATAAAGTCAAATATATTATACATATTTATTTAGTTTTTTTTTTCTTGGTGATGAAATCAACAAAACATCTTAACTACTATGCAAAATATCAAAATTTACAACAGTTTCTAACCAAGTAGGATAAGATCTAAGACTTAACTTGCTTGTACATATTTTATTAGTTTGGGTCCTTACAGGATCAACTTCAAGGTTTCAGTAAGCATGGAAAAACCCTTTTGTGTAACATGCCATTCACAAGCTGTTGGTGCTAGATCCTTTGAAAGGAGAGAAACTGTAGAATCTTTAAAGGCAAGGAAGCTTGTATTGAGAAGGGAATAGGGAGGGCAGAAGATACTGTTGCATCATGGACATCAGTAAGGCTTTGTGGGGTGTTCTCATCTTAGGGAGAAGTGGGGTAGGATTATTTTCTGATCCAATACCCATCTTGTATTGTTATCTGTGTATCATTTCTTTTGATCTGAAATGAAAGGAATTTCCCATTTTTAATAAAATGTTTATTTAAAGGTGGGATGGTCTCAGAGTTTGCCTCCCCCTTGTTTCAAGTAATGGTTTTAATTGGGATCTGGGACTAAGAAGGGGGATTAAGGACTCAGAATTACACTATGTCCATAGCTTTTTACAAATCCTTAATAGGGTCAATTTGGATTCTAATAAGCCTGATAGTCGGATTTGGACCCCCTCTCCCTCGGCCTCGGGTTCTTTCACTTGCTGTTCTTTCTTTAGAGTTTTGTCCCAACCTACCCCTTTGTTGCCGTTTCCTATAAAGGTCTGGTGTCAACCTAACTTGCCTAAAGTTGGAGCTTTCAGTTGGGGGAGTTTCTCATGAGAAAATTAAGGGTCTGTTTGTTTCACGGTCGGAATCAAAATCCCTCAGAATCAGAATCAAATAGCCTGTTCCCCCACCTGTTTTGTTCAAATGGAAATCGGAATCAGAATCAGCTGAAATGGGATTCACTTTCCCAAGGGAAGGGGAGGGAATGACTATTCCTTCAAATGGGGGAATGCCATTCCACCAGGAATGGGAATCAGATTCTGATTCCACCCAACCAAACAGTTGGAACTAGAATGGGCCATTCTGATTCCGACTCCAGACCCATATATTCCTGCAAACCAAATGAACCCTAACACTTGTGACCTGCTACAAAAAAGGAGACTCATGTGTTGCTTATCTCCTTGTTGGTGTATACTTTGCAAGGCTAATGGTGAGACTTGCTATTACTTGCTAATCTCTAATCCATTTTTTTCATCAGACCTAATCTCCTATCCATTTGTTGCATGTATTTGGGAAAGGTTTTCCACCTTCAAATGTACCAAGCTTATTTTCCCTGACAACTTTTCCTTGACCAAAGAAAAGGGGGAGGATTATGTAGAGACGTACAAGGGATGAAACCATTTGGACAGCCTGGAAAGAAAAAAAATGCAAGAATTTTCAAGGAAAAAAGAGAAGTTTGGAAGCAATAGCTGAATGCATCACTATCAAGTTGGCATATTGGAAGATAGTTTCCCATCTTTCTCAATAGATGACATAATCAGAAGTGAAGAAAAGTGGCAAGGACTTATACAAAAAAGACACCAATAAGTAAAGATTGAATACCACCTGAAGACAGCTCCTTAAAGCTTAACTTTGATGGTAGCAGTATTGAGAATCCAAGCCCAAAAGGAGTATGAGGCATTTTCAGAAATGAGGAAGGCCATATAGTGGCATTGTTCTCAGGTCCAGTTGGCATAGAGGACTCCTTAAGAGCGAAAGATTATGGCAATTATAGGCATACAAAGGCAAAGAAGATGAATACAACCAAGTAAAAAAATAAAGAATATTCAAAGCTGGTGATTGGATGGTTGCAGAATTTTGAGGCTGCTCTATGGTCTTATCAGAATGAAACCTCTTTGCCTTTGTATTCCTATAATTCCATACAATTCCATATGAATTTTATGGAATGAATTATACTTTACCTCTTACAAAAAGAAAAAGAGGAAGGATTATATGGAATTGTATAAGAGCTGCTGTCTTTGAGGTATGCAGAGTGAGAGGAATGATAGAATCCTTATGAGGAGAAACTTGAGGTCAATTCTTTCATTAGCTGTATTACTATGAGGGTATAACACTGGATTTCGATTTTAGATGAGTTTAACGGGATTCCCACAGATGCTATTCCTAGAGGCTGGCAAGTGATTGCTAGCTTTACTCTTCATACAAGATACCCCCCACATGAATGGTTGCACTGAACCTTGTAACCATCAAGCTAAAGTTCAATGGATGTGTGTTAGGTAACTTGGGAGTCTCTGGGGTGGGATGTGTTCAGAAATCATCGTAGGAATGTGGAATGCCCTTTTAAGCTTCTCAGGCCCTACTGAAGATGGAAACTCTCTAAGGGCAGGACTGTTCACTTTTTTACAGGAGCATAGAGTGGTTTTGCCTTCCAGCTGGATGGACCTTACTATTGAAGTATTGAATGAGATTGCTGAATAGATGATTTTTTTTGGTAGTAAATAAAAACTTAAAAAGGAAAATTTATGGAAGAGATTGGCTGCCACTTTGAATAGCTTGTTGGGATTCCAAGATCAGCCAATGCTTTAGCTGACCATTAGCCAGGTAGGGAGAGCATAACTTTGATGAAGGGGCATCAGGGTCCAGGACTGGAGAAAAGAAACCAATCCTGGATTGCATCATTGTTTTCTTTTCTTTTCTGTTGTGGGTGTGGGTGCTATCTCAAGTATGCTGCTTTTGTACTGAACTATTGTTTCTTCCTTGCCATTTGGAATGAATGATTTGCAGGTACATCCATTTCATATTAATAAAGGATTTTGTTTATTACTGATTGATAGGGGTGCAAATCAGGTAATCAAATTGAAGAATTTACACAGCATTATCCCAATCAAATTTTAACAAATTGTCAACCCAAGCCTGCCCAAGTTGTACCCCTTCTGATTGCGGAAAAAAGAGAAAGCTATAGTGGCAATTTATTTGGAGATTCCATGGACCCCAGATTCACACCATGAATGTGCCTCAAAACAAATAAAAAAGGAAAAAAACAAAATGAAAATAAAAGAGAAAAAAACAGAACAAACAAACAAACTAAACAAAATTTCAAGGGGTGAAACCTAACCTGAGAAGGAAATGCTGACTTGAAAGCCTTTGGTTCAATGTTATAACCCCCAGGTCCTGCAGCTTTATAGATCCCATACATCAACTTCAGATCAACATCAAACAAAAACAGCCTTGTGCCTTTATAAACCTTGGAAACTAATTCTTTCTTGCTTGCAGGCAACCCAAGAACCTTGTATTGGTAGCAATCCCGCTTGGTCTTTGAATTACACATGAATATCATCCCCATACTCTCTACATTCTTTGAAGATTTCTTTTTATCTGATGTTTCTGCTTTATCAACGTCTTTTGCAGCTTCCACATCAGCATTCATTGGTTTTGCCTTCTTTCTGTTCCTCTTCCTTGACTTACCGGCTTTCTTATTTGACTTTTTTTCTTCTTTTTCTTGCCTTTTTGCTTCTTCCTCTTTATTGTCTTCATCTTTTCCCTTATTAACCTCTTCCTTCTTATTCCCTTCATTCATTTCCTTCTTCACTTCAATCTTATTCTCTCCATCTGTATCCTTCTTCACCTCTTCTTTATTTCCTTCTTTCATCTCTTCACTTCCAGAAAAAATGGTTGGTGCATCCTCATCCATCTTCTCTGACTTAGGTGCAGATGTCTCGGTAGCTGTGTTGTTTGCTTCATCCTTTTCTTTAGGTTCTGATTCAGAAACAAGAACCTTCCCTTCGATTGCCTCTTTTACCATGGTTTGTTTGGTTGTGCAAAAACAAGGCAAAGGAAAACAAAGCCTACAAACCCCTAAAAGAATGAGGGAAAAGGAAAAACAGAACGCAGAAGGACAGACAAACCTGAAAGAGCTATAAACAAATTTGCCGCAAAATGTCAGCTCCTCAACACAGATATAGCAAAGGAAAACAGTGACAAACAAAAAAGAAGTCACAGTTGAAGGTAAGGAAAATAATATAAAGGGAATGGGGCGGGGGGAAAAAAGTAATTGAAGTCAAAGACTCTCCAGAAAACCCATCAAAGTGGATCAGAATAGCAAAACTGGTAACTTAATGGGCATCAAAGCCTGAATGTTATGTAAAGCAAGACAGAAATAGACACCGCTTTGATGTCAATCAACAACTCAATTTCAATAACTACGAAACCCCAAAGAAAGATTCACGATGCATAAGCAGAAGAATAAACAAGCAGTGCGCAGAACCTCTTGCGCCAAAGAGAGAAAACCAAAACCTCTAGAGACTCGTCCAGGAAGACGAAAGAAACCCCTGCAATCTTCAACCCACAAGGGATGCCAAGCAATCGAAAAAGCGCAAAAACCTTAAGCCCAAGCCTCAGAACTTTCTGGAACCTTTCAGAAATGTCAAGCGCGCAGGCGTTGAGCAAAACCCTATTACCCTACTTCTCCACCCATTTCCCCTCTTATAATTAATTAAATAGCTCGATCATTATAACCGCATAAATTCACATAAAGAAAAATGCCTCTATGGACAAGCGACATGAAGAAATGAATAAAAGAAATCAATAAAAAGAAGTTATACGAAACACATACTCTTCAACAGGAGGCCCCAAGAGATTCGAGGTGATAACTATTTGAAAGGAAGAGCGAAGCCAGAAGAGCTCCTGCAATGCAAAACCAAGGATGGTTGATTGTGATTATTTCAATAAATCCCTCTATATCTCTCTATCTTAGAGATTGAGTTGGAAAGCTCATCCGTTCATTCACAACATCCACCAAAATCCCCTCTGTTAACAAAAGAACACAGAGTACCAAAAACTGAAAAGAAAACGAGCGACAGACAAACAGAAACCTGAAAATTTTGAGAGTGGGAAAGGGAAGGAGCGCAAAGCAACGAAGAAATGGCAAGAGAGGTCCTTAGAAGTGTTTTCGAACCGCCGTTGACCCGTACGGTCGAACCGTTCGGCTCGGAAATAGTCCAGACAACCGGTTCCCTTTTACCCTAAACCCGGTCCTTGGCAAAAAATCATTGAATTGGTTAGCGACTTGCTGGCCTGGGCGGTCGAACCGTCGATCCATTCAATGGTTTTTGGACATCTTTATTTTAATTATTTTTTTATTTCTTAAGTTGGAATAGGTCATCTATTCGAACAAAAAATCAAACTGTCGACCTGTAAACTGGTGGCTAGAACGGTTCCAAATCTAGGTCGTTTTTAAAACCATGATTTTTAAAAAACATGGTAGTCGGGACTCATGCGATGCATAAGCTTTATTTTTTGGGTTTAATTCAAGTATTACGGTGCCCATCTTAAGTTCAATTCAAGTATTGTTTTTTGGGTTATGTTTGTTTTATTCAATCACAATGTAAGTTGCACTTTAGTGAGAGTGGTTAATTTCCTATTCTTTAGATAAATTTTTATTTTTTATATCTTAATGCTAATTTTTAATATTTTTTGGTTTATTGTTATTTTTGTATTATTTTTACATAAAAATATCTAAAAAAATCCTATTATAACAATTCTATAAACCACCTTTGTGTTTTGATCCTAAGTCCTAACTAAGGCTTTCCATATAGTTTTGAAAAAATGTGCAAGTACCTCATTTCCCTTGGCTTTTCGGTAATAAAGACATTGAACTTACAAAAATACCCTTATCATTGTTAATGTATTATCATACACAATTTAAGGTTTCAACTTTGCACTCCACTAATTTAGTTTGCCAATAGCTTTCAAAGAATAATTTTCCTTGTTGTTCTTGAACAAAGTAAAGTAAAGAGGCTAAAGTGAAGTAAAATTAGGGGTGTAAATGGATCGAGTTTGAATCGGATCAAGCAATATCTGAATTCGAATTCAATATCCAAATTCGATTCGATATCCGACGAATACTGAAAATTAATATCCGAATTCGAATCCGATAAAATATTTGAATATTTGATTCGATTCGAATTCGATTAATTAATTATTTTAGATAATTAAAAAATATAAAAATAAATATTTTATTGATATAAAGTATATAAATATATAAATTATATAAAATATTTTATATATTGTATATAAGAATTAAATAATCGGTCGAACTTGGATATTTATCGAATCGAATCAGGTCATATCGGAATTCGAATCCGATTAACTATTTGGTAAGAATAGAATATCCGAATTCGATTGATTATATATTCGAATTATCCAAATTCGATTCGATTATATCGAATATCGAATTCAAAATCGGATTTTTGAATACCGTTGAGACCCCTAAGTAAAATTAATACATAATACCAACATTTTTTTATTTGGAATGTTGGCCAAAGAAAGGTATTTACACATTTTTTCAAAACAATAAGTGGGGTTTTTGTTAAAGTGAAAGCATTGAAGAATTTCATAAGATTGTTAGAAAACCCAAGGATGTTTTTATCAATTTTTTTCTAAATGGAATTCAAATTGATTTTAAAATAATTAAACTATATTTAAGATTAATATTTTTTATTAATTCTTGAAATTAGTAAAAAACAAATTGAATTAAGCATATTAAGTTTTTATTTTTCAATGGAACTTAAGTTGGTTTTAAATCAGTAAAAAATTAATCATAAAACTAATCATTGTTAGATATTTTTGTATTAATTTTAATTTGATATTAGTTTTAAATTTATATTATTCCTTTTATTAATTAAATTATGTTTATTATATTAATAAAAATAGTTTTATTAATAACATTATTTAATAATTATTTTTGTTTTATTTAAGTAACTTACTAAATTATTTCTATTATGAATAATTAATTTTTATTTTTTTCAAATGGAATATAAATGGATTATAATTTTAAATGGAAGTAAGCTATTTAGCATAATAATATATCATTGAATATCTTAATTTCAATATAATTAATCTATACTAACAATTATAGTTTAATGTAAATATATATATATATATATAAATATAATTATAGCTAAATTGAAATTTATATAGATATAGATAATACATTTTATGAAATTTAATGAAGCAATGGGGATGAGAGAAAATTAGTGGCATGAGATATTCAAGGAGAGAGTTAATGGCATAATTAATGAAAAGAGATTATTAAAATAGTTAATGGAAAAGAGGAGAGAGAGAGTTAATGATGAGTGTTAAAGTTTATTGATCAACTGAATTGTTTTGTTCAATTTTAAAATTAGAAAATTAAAAAACAGAAAAAAGATAAATGCCTTTGAGAAGAAACCAAAAAGCAGCAAAGTGCCAACTTGGCACATTCATTACATTTTAACATATAGATAAAGATTATTTAAACCTCCCCTGCTTGGGCTGTCCCCTATATTATATATACGAGTACTCGGTATATATAAGTTCAAATAGGATGACCTTTTAGTTTATCTTTCAAAAAAATGCTGACCTTTAGATCACCGATATTCTCGATGTGCGGCTGGATGAATGTGCTCGTAATGTGTTGTGGTTAATAGATCTGAACTATATTTACTTAAGTATGTTTTTTTAATCATTATTGACCCGGATAGTCAGCTTGTTCTGCCCAAAAACCTGCCAAGCAACTAGTTATGCTTTTATCCTAAAAAAATCATTGACTTAGTCAACAACTCATTTGACCTAGACAATAGTTTTGGTCATTTTTTTATTGTTTTTGTTTTTTTAATTGCAATGGGCCAATCCATTTGGACCGAATGGTCAAACCTCTGACCCAAAAACCTGATGGCAAAAGTAGTTTTCATTTCAGGTTAGTTTTTAAAAGATTGTACCAAGGGATAAAAACCTCCCATAGTTTTTCCGCTTGTCTTATAAACTTTTCTTGTGTTTTAATCATAACAAACCCCTTGATGATGTTACAAATACCTCCCTTTTGTTAATTTTCCAACAACAAACATTAAGTTACCAAAATACTCTTATATAAAGTATAGGGATGGCAATTTTATCCATCCTAGATGGGACCCGACTTCCCCAACCCCATGGGTTCAGGGTTGGGGATGGGGATGGAGATTGAAGTCCCCGCCCCAACCCCGAATATATATATATATATATATATATATATATATATATATATATTAAATGTTATTTATATTATATCAAAACATATTTAAAACACCATTTATAATTTAAAATTTTTATTTATTTTAAGGAAATTTGTTTTCTAAAAAAATTTGGGGATTCAGGTCCCACGGGGAACCCATCCCCATCAAGGATCGGGGATGGAAGACAAATTTTATCCTTGGTGAAGATTGGGGATGAGGGCTAATTTTAGAATCAAAGTCAGAGACGAGAAATATAATCTCCGCCTCCAACCCGCCTCGTTGCCATTCCTAATAAAGTAGCTTCAATTGATTATAAAAAGCATAATTGTAGACAAGCCACTCCAAAAACATGTGCATCCCGTTTTTGCCTACTTTTGATTTTCATGTCATCACTTTAATTGTCCAAGTCGAACAGATTGACTCATGATGTCTATATATATATAGAGCATTGATTTTTAACCACAATCACTATACAACATGCACCCCCAATTGCCATGTGTTTCAATTTATGGTATTGGGTCCCTATTATTTAAAATTTCCCACATGTCATATGAGTATGTATAGGCTATGAATTTATGAAACAAATATATTAGGGGTGTTCGAGTCAGGGCTAAGCTGGCTCAGGGTGCTACATGGCCACCCAGTCATCTCGACCACATCAGCGCCGCACTACCATCTCTGTGGCATACATCGACTCCGTGGCCACGACAATGCTATGCTACTTTCGTAGTCCCCACCTTATCCTCCCAGCCATGTCGACTCCACATCATGCGGATAAGCACAACCAAGAACAAGAGAGCGGATAGGAACAACCCCGCTGGAAATTAGGACTCATCTCGAAGACCTCAACGGTTAACCTCATCCCGACAACCCTGGAAGCCTAATCCGATCAGGACATGAACCTTCGGCTATAAAAAGGTACTCCCCACTCGAGATAAGGGATCCCAACTTCTAGTTCTCACACCGTTATACTGATTGGACCAGCACTGTTCTCCAACTGCTTGGCCCGACTACCTACTGCCCTCTACTGACTTAAGCGTCAGAGTATCTACCCGGGGATAACTCCTCGGGCCTCTGACATTTTCTTGTTCACAGATCTCATTGCACGGCTTTTTCCTTCCACCTCGGCTCTGCCCTGTTGGCAAGGATTATCTGATTGTGACCTCAGTTCTTGCACTACCTAGGATCGAGCAGCATCAAATTGGCATCGCCTGTGGGAATCACACGAAAAGCCTCTCCTAAATCTCTCTCACTGTGCAGTCAATAAACGATCAATATGCCAAGAAACCACTATGAGCATTCAATAGGTCGATCCCTATCTCGAGAATCTCGCCATCGTAGCCCCCTGCATGAGGAAACCCAGCAGCCACAAGCTATGGTCGACCCCATTCAGCTCCAGGTGATGCAAGAAAAGGTCGACAAAATCTTGGCGATGATGCAGTCATTGGGGTCTGCGGCACCGCCCACTCAAACTGTTCTCCCTGTTGCCCCAATGCGTACGAAGGCCGATCCTCGCCCTGATGACCCCAAAACGTGCCGATTGGACAAGAAGGGAGAGCAGTCCGATCAAGAAAGCAAGACACGACAAGAAGGTCCGTCTCCTCCGCCCGCTCTCACGAACCTAACAACCGTAGTAGGACTCATTAGACTACATGGATCCCAGCCAAAGAAAGGCTCAGCAAACGGACGCTGCCCCAGGTGGTCTCTGTCGCCGAGCAATTTGGTTAAAAACCACCCAGTGTGGCCCAAGAAAGAGAAAGCCACACATGTCATGGTCCCAGATGATAGGGACACAAAGACCAGAAGCTCTGACAACGCTTAATCGAGTTGGAGGCCGCCAGGCCTAGAGGAGCGTGGCACCGCTTGTAAATCA